GTGCTCGATTCTGACTGCATCGCATTCAATGTGAACTATTTAAGATCGATTGATTCTGTCGACCTTCTAATTCTATAAAGCGTGCGTCAAACCTTCTAATTTGCCAAGAGCAGCTCCTTTCTGGCGTTTCGATTGTTGAATCGTCATGGAACTATAATCGTCATGGAACTACCACCATGGGTTTCAATCCTCTAGTGTCGCCAGGAGCAACCTCCGGCCAGGCGACAGGTCGAGGATTGAAAAAAATATACAATAACATATATGCAGCATGGGTTGAACAGTCATTTGCACTTGATGCTTCAATACGAGCCGGATCCAAAGCTATATACAGTTGCCACGCCGAGACGCGACAGTGCGCACCAGTGCACAGCCACCGCATGACCCACGGATGAACCTTTTGTGATTTTACGCTTTTGTGAGCTATTGCGCAGACGTTCCTTCAAAGGTCGATCTAGCACCTTGGAAAACTCATCGGTATGACTGCAGCCTTGCAATCTCATTCACAAATGCGGTCCAGGATGAAAGAATTGTTCCTTGCGCTGTTGCATCACGTGTTCAGCCCCAAACCACCAGTTTTTACACAAACAATGTGTAGAAGTTATTGAGCAACCCTTCGTTAACACATGGGCCAATAGACGATAATAGTCGTAATAGTAATGATATACACACACCATCAACCCTTTTTCCAAAACCAAACATGCAGCAATGCATTACCAAAGCTTTCCCCAACCGATTCCTCAAAAGTTTACTTCTTGGGCTTGAAGACCAGCTGGTTCGGGTGATTCGGTGTCTCCTGGTGCACCTTCACCTCCGTCGACTTCGTGATCGTACGCCATTTCTCCAGGCGGCTTTCCCTTGCCCTTGCCAGAACCAGTGGCCTCGACCAGGGTCTTGTTCGCCTCGGTGGCCAACGCATAGGCTTCCTCAAGCCACTGCTCCTCCTCCAAGGGCTCAGCTGGTTGTCCTGTCATTCTCAGGCGTCTCACTGTAGAGGTCCTCAGTCTTGTAGTCGAAGCTCATAGTCCTCCCAAGAGTCAGCACCTGGCCAGTCTGACCAGTAGGCCTCAGCAGCCGGCCATTGTGTCTCTTCGCACCATCCCGGTTGCTCTCCTCGTAGGGCTCCTCGAACCAGATGGTCTTCCAAGGCCTTGGATGATCATGATCCTCCACACCTTCTTGATGTAGCCTGTCCGCCAGAGGGCTCAGCCAGAACATTTGCTGGAGCCAGGTTGGATCTCTGCCGCTCCTCGGATGGAACATCACCTGCCACATCAAGGTAGTAGCATCCTCATCAAGGATTCAACCGAAATGGGAGTTCAGTACACAGCCGTACCCTCAAGCGTGGCGTCCAACTGCTCCCGTGAAGAAACAGGGCAAATTTGATTCACCTTGGGTCTATAATGAGCGTTGCGCCCGAGCAAAGCCACGCGGTGGAGCCTTCCATGAGGATGATGCGGACAGGCCCAACCCAGTTCTTTAGGAGAGCTAGAGTCTTTTGATGGCTCTTGACTTCCAGCCTGCAGTAGCCGTGGTTGGCCACTCCCATGCAAAGTCATTGCCAGCTGCCAGCACACGGGTTCAAGCGCTTCAGCGATCTCATCGCATCTCTTCAGATCTCGGCCTCGACGCTTGAAGAACTTGTCCATCTGTTCAGGAGTCCTTGGAGTCAAGTTCTGTAGCGCAGAAAGTCGGGCGCAGGCCATTGAGACCCATGCCAGCTTTGGGGTTCCTTGACATGATGTCCACCTGAGGTGATACAGTGGCCAACAGTTCTCCCACGGGTTGCAGCATCTTGGACACTGCCCGTTCGTTGTTTGGCACCGTTCCCAAAGCGGAACCGAGGCCTGTCCTCCAGAGCATCGGGCATGAATTCCACACCTGCCACCGACTCCGTTGCTCCGGTGTCCAGCACTGCCTTTGCGACTCCTTGGCCATACAAGTCCTCATTCTCAAAGAGCTTTGCCGTTGGGACATCCAGATCCCTTGCCGCTGCCAAAGGAAGATCCCTTTGAGCTCGGCGATGACATAGGTGAAGACTTGCCACCTCGAGACCATCGATCTGGACATTTCTGATATCCATGGCCAGTCTGACCACAGATGAAGCAGGGGCCAAATGACGAAGCGCCCTTGCCCTTTCCACCAGGGGGCTTTCCCTTGCCCTTGCCAGAACCAGTGGCCTCGGCCAAGGTCTTGTTCGCCTCGGTGGCCAACGCATAGGCTTCCTCAAGCCACTGCTCCTCCTCCAAGGGCTCAGCTGGTTGTCCTGTCATTCTCAGGCGTCTCACTGTAGAGGTCCTCAGTCTTGTAGCCCAAGCTCATAGTCCTCTCAAGAGTCAGCACCTGGCCAGTCTGACCAGTAGGCCTCAGCAGCCGGCCATTGTGTTTCTTCGCACCATCCCGGTTGCTCTCCTCGTAGGGCTCCTCGAATCAGATGGTCTTCCGAGGTCTTGGATGATCCTCCACACCATCAGTCTCAGCGAAGAGAGACCTCAGAGCTTGGCGGATGAGGGTGAAGTGCGCGCTGTTCTTGGTGAGGGTCAGCACGTGTTGGCGTTCAGCCGCAGTGAGCTTGGAGGCTTTTAGAAGCCTGTAGCCGCGAAGCTCGTTCTCGAAGAAGCCGGTGTTGTCCATCCCTGAAGACGTAGGGGCTTCCTCAAAGCTCGGCTCAGCTTGCTCCTCATCCGTCATGCGGCCACCTTTTCCTCCTGCCACGTTCGGAGACCGTGTAGGTGAAGCTGAGGGGTCATGCTCACTCACGCCAACCGCCATGGACCTCATCTCGGCCTCTCGCCTTTCATGTCGTGCTCGCTTCAAGGCTTGATGGAGCTCCAGAAAGAGTTCTTCTTCTCGAGCCAGTAGTTGCGGTATGTCTCATCCCAGTCCACCCCTCTGTCCGGCACCGGCAGCTTCTGGAGAGGGCTCTCTCTGAGGACCGTCAGGAGCTTCCGGAGGCCCGATTCTGTGGCGAAGCCTTTGGGGTCCAAGTGCTTCACCACGCTCTTTGCGGCGCCAGCCAAGCGCTACCAGATCCTCGGTGCCCCAGCTTCTTCTCCGTGTCCTTGATTGACCGAACACTCGTACCACCGACAGCTGGTGGCGAAGTTTGCAGGACCGCCATCCCAGGCTAGGATGTCTTCCTGCGGCATCCTCCACCGTCAGGATCGCCACCGCCAGGGTCTCCAAGATCACCAGGAAGTAGCTCCGCTGACCATGCAGAGCGCTACCCACAGCGCAAACCGGGCCCACCTACGGGCCAAAAAGGTCAAACGCCTGTTTTCCACAAGAAGCTCGAGCCCCGCCCTAGCGGAGGGTAAAAACAGTGAACCATGTGACCGCCAAGCTTGCACAAAGGAAAAAAGCAACAGCGAACCACAGGACCAAAAGGACCAGTGGACCAAGAAACCAAAGGACCAAGCAAGCAGGGCACCAAGGGGCAGGGAACCAGGAGACCAATGTGTTCCTTGACTTTGTTTCTTGATGCAATCAAAGGTTGATGCAACATCAATTTTCCTGATGCAAATCAATGTTCTTTTTGATAGGTACCCCTCACCTCTTGGGTTGTAACTGTTCTGACAATTTCACACAATTCTGCTCCGAAACCACGGCCACCTCTGGAGAAGGTGGCCAGCTGGGCTTGAGATCCCACGTTGAAAGTCACCTGAGATGCTCCCAGAACGCAAGTAGCGGCGGTTTCGGTCCCTGTCTTCTCTCCAAGCTATGCGGCTGATCTCACACCATATGTGCCAAAGGCGACAGCCGCTGCCACTCCTGAGAGAGCGTAAAGCGCCCAGTCTTTCTATCTCTCCTTCTATATCTATGTCTATGTATCTGTCTGTCTATCTATCTCTATCTATCTCTATCTATCTCTATCTGTGTCTATCTATCTCTATCTGTGTCTATCTATCT